ATATTCATTATATTTTTATTTTTTTAAATACAAATTTATTCATTCAATTATAAATTTATAATATAATATTTTTCTCATTATTATTTAATAATTATTTTTATCATAAATTTATTAACGGTAATAGTTTTATTTAAATGATAAAATTTTATTAACATTTTTATTTATTTTAACAAATATTAGAAAACTGTTCTAAAGATTTCTATTAAATATTTTTAACATTATATTTATATAAATAAACATTAAATTTGCTATATTATTTATTTTAAACATAAATTATTTATTAATTAAAAAATACTTAATATATATTTATTATTATAATAATTATTAATATTTATTGTTTTATAAATATTATATAAATTTTTGTAATAAAAAAAGAATAAAGAAGATTCTTATATATTTTATGCTAAAATATTTATATTTAAATCAGATATATTATATTTTAATTTACTTAAAATAAATAATTAAATTTTTCATAAATTATTATCTAATTTAAACTTTTATAATAAATATTTTGTTTGAATTTTATACAAATTAATTGTTTTAAGACATATTATTTTAATATAATTAGTAAGAAATAATAAATATTTTAAATTATTTATTAAATTTATTCTATATTAAATTACTAATATAAGAATATATTCTTTTAACATCAGATTTTTTTTATTAAAATTTACTTTTTAAAAACTTTGAATTACTTTGTATAATTTTCAATCTTCTAAATTAAAAAATAATATTACATAAACATATTTCTTTATATAATATTTTAAGTTATATAAATATATAGAATTATTATAAACTTTTTAGTCATATATTTTATTTTTATTATTATAAAGGATTATTTTTTAAAAAATTTATGGATTTAAAGATTATTAATTTTAATATATAAATATTTTTATATATAAAATTATATTTCTTTATATAATAAATATAAAATATGTATTTTGTTTCCTTTATCTTTTTTTTAATTCTAAAATTAAATTTTGCAGTATATTAAAGAATGAGTCCATTTTAAAAAATTTAAATTTATGTTAATAATATTTCTCCTTTATATAATCCAAGTGAAACCTATAGGTTAAAAAACTTTATATAGAAAACATAAATAAATAAATAAAAAGATATTATTCTTTACCTTTCCCATAACCAAATGAAGTTTCTTAATAAACATAAAGTTTAGGAGAAAGTATGTCAGGAAATAGAATATAAACATCCCTTTATTATTGTCTATTTGGATGTAACTATTTATTAATAATTTAAATTAAATATAAAAAGAAAACAAAACTGAAATAATTGCAAATAAAACTTATAATAGCGAGTAAATTTAAATATTTAAAAAAGTTATTAAAGAATAATATATTGCTGAGTTTTATGTCGGTAAAAATAATATAAAATATATTTTTTTTTTAATGATTAAAATTTATTTAAAAAGAGGATTTTATTACACATGATTGGATAGGAAAATACAAAGAAGAAACGGATGAATTTTATTTGAAAAATTCAATTGAATTTAATTTATATATTGATAAATATGATAAAACCGTAATATTACAATATTTAATAAAATAAAGAAATAATTTTTTTTAAAAAATAAGAAACTTATTTATGCAAATGTAACTGAAGAGAAAGGCTTTTAAGATTATAACAAACTTGAATTCGATGAAAATTCAAATGAATTGACAATTAATTTTTTATTTTAAGCTGTATTTATATATGTAGATCCAAAAGATATATAATATGAAATTGATTTTGTAATTGAAGAAGAGTATAAAAATAAATAAACAAAAATTAATAAAAATAAAAAATAGAATTAAAAATACAAATAATTAAATAAAAGAAAATATATAATGGATTTCTATATCTACTTATTTTATTATTGTACTTATTTTAGCATTTTTTGTTTGTATTGTACTTTCTAAAATGTTAAAGAAAGATTTTATTATAATAAATAATATTGAAAATGATTAAAGTAAAATAAATATTATTAAGAAAATATTATCATATATTTATATATATAAAAAGATCATAATATTTATTGGAAATTTCTTAAAAACGAGGTATTTACTCCTCCAAAATATAGAATTTTATTTTGTGCTATAATTGGAAATGGTATTTAATTCATAAATTTGATTTTTTATTCGGCTTTTTTAGGATCTTTAGGCCTTTATTATAACCATAAAGGTGATATGAAATAAATAGCAGTGTTTCTATATGCATTTACAGGTATTTTTAATGGTTTTTATTCATCTAAATATTATAAAATTTTCGGCGGGAATACTTGGGCATTAAACTTTTTGTTTTCTTGTAATGTTTTTCCTGTATTTATTTCTTAATATTTTTTAATTTATATATATTTTTTATTTTCATAAGTTTATAATTTTTGGAGTTTTTTTAATTTTAAACTCTTATGCTTGGGCTGTTTAAGCAACTTCAGCATTTCCTGCAGAAGCTATTTTCTTGATTATTTTGTTATTTTTAATAATTTATTTACCTTTAAGTCTTGTAGGACATATTACTGCTAGAATTAAAACAAAAAATCTATTACCAGGAATTGAATAAGGATTACCTAGAGTTATGAGACCTATTCCTTAGGGAGTTTTTTATTAAAAAAATATTTACTATTTTTTTTTAGGAGGACTTTTACCTTTTAGGTTTAAATTTAATTATTTCTCTTTTTTTAATAAAATAAAAAAGTTCTATTTATATTGAGCTTAAATATGTATTTTTAAGTGTTTGGGGCCATTAGATTTATAGAATGTATGGTATTGTTTGCTTGTCGTTTCTTTTATTAATTTTTGTATAAGGATTAGTTTCAATATGTTTAACTTATTGGTAGTTGTGTAATTAAGATTATAATTGGTGGTGGAGGAGTATTTTATACGGAGGGTATATTGTTTTAATATATTTTTTATTTATTTTATTTTTTTATTTAGGTGTACAAGCCTTTTTATTTGTTTTTATGTTGTTTATTTTTATTATGAAGAATCTAAAATGCATGGACTTATTTAAGTAAAAAAAAAAATTATATATATTATTAACATTATTTTTAAAAGTTTATATTTTATTTTGGTTATATGTTTATTTTTTGTCTAGTTTCTTTGGTTGTAAGAAATATATCTTATTTATTATATTTTTAAAATAAATTATTTATTTAGGTCTTGGGGACAATAAGCTTTTTTGCAAGTTTTAAGTTTATAAAGTATATTTATAATACATAAAAAATTGATTGAGGAATAAAGAAAAAAAAAATATTTTAAAAATTAATAAATTTATAATAATAAAAAATAAAAATATAATATCATATATTATTTGTTAAATTATATATATATATAATAATCAATATTTTAAAAATGGAAAATAAATAAATTATTACTTTAAACTAATTAATAGAAAAAATAAATCCAAACGGAAAATATTAATAAAGAGTAATTTTTATAGTTTCAATCATGTTAATTTTATAAGTAAGAAAAATATGATTGTATATATAAATTTATTAAAAAAAATTAGACTTTTTGCTATATTTTGTAAGTATTGTTTTATCAAGAACCCGTTTTTAAATGCGGAGATAACCGCTGTACTGAAGATACAGGTGGATGTGATAAAACCTCAAAAGTTGATTATGAAAATTCACAAAAATCTGCTTCATTAGAATTTAGATTATATTGCGAAAAAAGGTAATTAATTATAATAATTAAAATCTAAAAATATAAATAAAGAAATGAAAGAATTTATGGAGAATCTTTGCTTTATTTTGGAAATTTAGTTGGGCTTTTTATATTTAATTATATATCAGATAATTATGGAAGACTACTTGCTTTAATATCATCATGGATATTAGGATTCATTGGTTGTATATCAGGTGTATTAGCTAAAAGTTCTGTTTTTTTAAATTTAGGAATGCTTTTAATAGGATTAGGAATGGGAGCATTTGGAGTTATATCAAATGTCTATGTTAGTGAAATATCAAGTAAAATAATTTTAATAAATTAAAAAGTATGGTAATAAATATAGATAAAAAATATGGAAATTTATACTAATTAGTAATGTATTTAATGTGGTCAGTAAGCGAAATAATCTTATATCCAACTTAGTATTTTTTGAAAGAATGGAGAAAATAATTTATTTATTTAATCTTTTTACCATCTTTTTTTATATTTTTTTTTCTTTTTTTCCTTAAAGAATCGCCTAAATTTCTACATACAAAAGACCATGAAAAAACTATTATTTTGCTTTCTGAAATTTCATAAATAAACGGAATATCTTTCGATAAAAATAAGTTCTAACTATAATAAATATAGGATAATCAAAAAAATACATAATATTATTTTTGGGATTTATTCTTATTTAAATCTCTAAGATTTAACACTATTAATTTATGTCTTTTTTCATTTTTTATTCATCTTTAATTTTACGGAATATCTTTTATTCTTTCTTAAATAGGTTTTGACTTTTATTCTAATATGCTTTTTATTGGAATGAGCGAAATAGTTGCATATTGTTTTGTATTATCAATAAAAAATAAATAGAAGTATTTAAAAAAGGGTTGCTTTTTTTCTCTTATTATTTCAAATATTTTATTTATTTTATTGAGCTATTCTTCTAATTTAAAAATAATATAGCTAATATTTATTTGCTTGATTAGATTTTCTTTAACTTTTTCGTTTGCTTTTTATATACTTTTAATAACACATATATTTCCTACAAAAATTAAATCCACTGCTTTTGGGTTTATTGTTTCATTTGGAATGCTTGGAAGCATTCTTTCACCTTATGCAATTGATTTTGCGGAAAGAATAGGGATATTTCCTACTTTTCTTATAGGCCTTTTAGGATTTGGAGGAGTTGGAGGATATTTTGGTATTGAAGTTGGAAATGAATCTTAAAATAGAGATCATATATAGGAAATTCAAGAAAATATTTAATAATAATAAACGATTGGAAAGAAAAATGAGCAATATTTAGAATTTTAAAATGAATAATAAATTTGATTATTTTTTAATTAGTTTTAATATTATACAACTGAAAAAAAAAAAAATTGTTTTAATGATTTTTTTTAATAAATTTTGATAATTTTATACAATTTTCTACTTTAAATAAAATATTAAATACAAATACCTTTATATTATAAAACTTTTTATAAAAAATAGTAAAAATATAATTAAATAATTAAAAAATCACTTTATAATTGAATAAAAATATTTTTATTTTTATATAATAGAATTAAATGAGATTGTTATTATTTTATTATGTTTATTATTTTTTACTTTTTTTAAAAAAAATTAAAAAATGTATTAGTTATATTAATTATTATAATTTATTTTTAATTTTATATAATTCATATGGAAAATTAAGAATATTTGATTAGGTTATTAATTGTTGGAGATTAATGTATTTTTTGTTTTTATTTTTTAATTACTTATGTTTTTAGAAGTTGGAAAAACGAGCGTTGTAAGAAGATATATTGAAAATTGCTTTTAAGAAGAGTATTTATAAACAATGGGAATTGATTTTTTATCAAAAGTAGAATTGTATTAAAATTAATAGATAAAATTATAAATATGGGATAGTGTATATATATTTATATAAATAAAATAATATAACTTATTTAAAAATAGGCTGGAAGTTATAAATTAGGATTAAAAAATTTTTATAGTAGAGTTAGCGCCATTATATTTATTTTCGACATATCTAAGTAAATATTTTTATATTTATTTTTATTTTAATAAATCTTTATATTTTCGAGAAAAGAGTCATTTACATAATTATAGATATGGATTAAAGATGCTTAGGAAATTTAAGATGAAAGCATATTATTTATTTTATGTGGAAATAAAAATGATTTAATATAAAAGTTTTTTTTTTTTTTTTTTTTTTTTTTTTAGTTTTTGTATTTATAATTTTTTTTTTTTTTTCTAATAATTTAAAGTATTGATTTTTTAGAAGATATTTATAAATTTATTAAATAATATAAAATTTAAAATTTTTTCTAAGTTTCAGCTCTAAATGGATTTAATATATAAAATGTAAATTTTTTTTATTCTTATATTTTTTTATAATTTAGATGTTTTAATATATTGTATAATAAATTATTGATACGTTTTGCCTAAATAATTATTTTGATTCTATATCTAATAAAGAAAATATTAAATTAAATAAAATTGATAAATAAAGAAATTGTAGATGCTGATAATAAAATATAATCAAATATTTAAATATATAAATATATTTTTTTTTTATAAATAAAAAATTAAAATATAAAGAAAAACATAGAAATATATAAAATAAAATCCATAATTATAAAATTGATAAATATAAAAAAAAAAAAATAGAAGAAAAGGCAATTATATATATTTTTCTTATTATTTAAAATTTAAATTTATTTATTAAATAGATTTTTTCCACTTCAAAAAAATAAAAAATAAAATAAAAAAAGCAAAAAAAAAACCACAACAAAAATAAAAATAAATTAAAAATGGACGCATATAGAGCAATGGCAAGTCTAGTAGACAACGCAACAAGTGAATCCTTAAATTAACCAGATTAAAACTCTATGAAAGAAGTAGCAGAGTTGGTGCGTTCTAGAGCAGATATGTAAAAAAAAAAAAAAAAAAAAACATTTTTTTTTTTAATAAGGCCAAAAGAAGTAATAAAAAATATCCATGCTAAATTATAAAAAAGAGATAGAAAATTAACTATGCTTTGCTTAGAATTATTAGAATATCTTTCTTATACGTGCGAAATTACTCTTTATAATTAAATTTCTACAAAAGAATTCATGTCAAGAATTGCAACTTTAATAAAATCTTATGATAATGATAATATGGTATATAATAAAAAAAAATTAAATTATTTATTTAAATAATATAGATTAAATAAAAACTACTTTGTCTTGTTAAATGTTGGAGAGAACTTTTTTAGAAAGAATTACATCCCTTTTTCTTTACTTTACATGATAATTTAATCAATAGAGGTTATGATGTACCTTCTGGATATATCTCTTAATATGCATCTTTGAAAGGCACAGTAAAATCTTCATCTTCTGCTTTTTAAAAAAATTCGTCACCAACAAAAAATACTTCATAGTAATAACCTTAGATTTCTGCATCTAAACAAAAGCTAAAATCAGATCTTGAATTAGTAAAATCAAATATGAATTTAGTGAATGTAAGATAAAAAAAAAAGTTAATATATTTTATATGTACGTAAATTATAAATAAGGAAATGATTGATAACTAAAATCCAAAAGATAATGTAGAATAAAACACTGTTTTAACAGACTTAATGACTTCTTTAAAAAATATGGAAAGCAAAATGTAAGATTTAATAGTGTAAATAACAGCTGAAAATGATGAATATATGACCAACTTTTGTTTAACATTGAATGATGATTTAAATATAGTAAATATAAAATAAATATATATTATAAAATAAAAATTATTAAATAGACTTTAGAAAGATATCAATAATTAAAAAGACATTAAAAACCTCGTCCTTTTAAAACTAAAAATGATTAATTTTCTTATTCTAATCAATAATAATCTTAATAATAAGATACTGCTAGTATATTCCTTGAAACAGCATAAGCTCTTTCTTAAAAACTACAAATGGCTAATACATAAAAGCCTTTACAAAAACCTCCTTAATAGTATTAACCTCCTTAATAATATTAATAACCTCCTCCTGCATAAAATAATAACAATAATAATTTATTAGATTTACTAGGTGATGATGAACCTGTTCAAGTACAAAAACCAGTAATAAATACTTAAATGTAATAACCTCCATAATAATTTTAATAATAACAATAATAATAATAATAATAGCAATAGCCAAAGTAAAAAAAAAAATATAATATATAAAAAATATAAAATCAAAAAATAGATAACCTGATATTTATGAATTAATGGGAGTTGGAAATACAAATACTTAGTAAACCCCAGTATAATAAAATATGAATTCTTCATAAAACAACTATGCTGCATTAAACTAAATTTAATAACCTCCTGTACAATAAGGTATGAACTTTGGTATTGGAATGCCATAATAGTAGATGAGAATGGGAATGCCTTAATAAAACTAAGGGATGGGAATAGGAGTTTAGCAATCTTTAGGAATGGGAATGTAGTAGTAACCTATGGGAATGGGAATGGGAATGGGAATGTAATAGTAACCTATGGGAATGGGAATGCAATAGTAACCTATGGGAATGGGAATGTAATAGTAATCTATGGGAATGGGAATGGGAATGTAATAGCAACCTTTAGGCATGGGTATGGGTGTGTAATAACCTTTAGGCATGGGTATGGGTGCATAATAACCTTTAGGTATGGGATCCTAATAACCAATGGGAATGGGAATGGGAATGCAGTAATAACCTATGGGAATGGGAGCTGGATTTTAATAGTAAGGTTTTGGAACTAATAATGCCGGATTTGGAAATAGTGGCAATGCTGGATTTGGAAATAGTGGCAACTAAAAATAACCTTAATAAAATAATACTTTTGGAGTTTCTGAAAAAAAACCTTTTGATGATTTAGATGACATGTTTGGAATTAATGGTGGAAATGGTATTTATATTTATATTTAAATTTATTAAATAATTTTTTTTATATAGCTAATCAAAAATAACAAGCTGTTAAATAAGGAAATAATGATGGATTTGATTTATTCTGAAATATTATATTTATAAAAAAAAATTATCATTAATATTGATATATCGTTATATTTTTTTTATTATATAAATAAAACAAGTTTTAATAACAAAATTAAAAATTTATATATACATATATATATAATATTAATTAAAATTATATAAAAAAAATATTTTTATTCAAATTATATTCTTTGAATAATTTGAATAAATGAAAAAAATATAAAGGGCAAATAATTAATTTATTTATTAAAATGAAAAAAATAAAATTTTATATTAATAAAAATAAAAAAATTATTTTAAAATATTTTTATTTAATTATTTTAAATAAAAGTTTTTAAAATATTTTTTTATAGATTTAAATAATATATTTAATTCCAATTTATTTATTATGCTGATATTTATTTATAATAAATTCATTTATAAAATGAATTATCAATATTGGATAGTTTTATAATATTAATTTTATTGATTTTTTAACAGTATATAATTAATTTTATAATATGAAGTATATTATATAATTATAAATAATTTATTTAATTTTAGTGTAGCAAATATATTTGCTTTATTTAATATGAAAATAATATTTAAGTGGTTAACAATTATAATAAAAATGTGAAATCTAAAATTTTTAAATTTAATTTTTTTATAGTTTTATTTTTGAATTTTAATTAAAAAAAACTATATTTTATTTATTTATTAATTTTTTAACTTTATTTTTAATTTATTTTATAAATTAAAATACTTAGTTTATGTTTTAGCATCAAGTAAAGCATTATAAACTTTTTTCTATTATTATTTGTTAATATATTTTTTGAAAAAAACTCAAATGAAAAAATAAAAAATACAATTATCTATTTGTTCATGTCTTTATTTTGATAGAGTTTTTTTAAAAATTAATATTAAAAAGTTATATTTATTTCATATATGTAAAAATATAATTTTTTTCTAAACAAATAAACATTTAAGTAATTATGTATAATTTTTTTGTTTTATTTATAAAAGAATATATAAAATTAATCTAAAATTCAATTAATATATAATTAGTTTATAAAAATATAATAGTTTATAAATAATAATTAAAGTTTTATTATACTAAATAATTTATTTTTATATAAATATTTAAATTTATTATTTTTAATTCAGTCCAATAAAAAAATTAATAATTTTTTATTATTTTTTGATATATTTAAAATTGATAATTTTAAAGGTCTATAAAAGAGAAAATAACTAATTTATAAGTTTTTTTAAAAAATTATTAATAATATAATGAAGAAGAGAAGATTTCTTTCAATATATAAAATTAAGAAAAATATTTTTAATAGTTTAGCTTATATATTTTAAAAAAATCAAAAATAAACAAATTTAAAATAATTAAATTTAAATGAAATATTAAATTTAAAAATAGAAAATTACAAATGTTTTATATAAAAAAAAAACTAATGCAATAATATTATTTATAAAGCTAATAAATCAATTGTAATTAAATAAATGTAAGGTTATAAAAAAATTAAATAGATAATTTAAAAAAATTCAAAAATTTCAACATTATTAAGAAAAAATATTTCTAATAATATATTAAATCGCTTAAAATAATTGAATAAATTTATTGATACAAATTCTTTTTTTATGATCTAAATATTTAAAAGAATCTATAATTTATTTAAATTATAAACGAACTGCAATATAAAGTTGTGAAGAAAAAACAAAATATGAAAATTATTATATTTTTTAAAAATTAGAAAATAAATCTCAAATTAAATATAAATATTAAATTCATAATCTTTCATCAAAATAATTTATTTGTAATTATTATTTATTTTAAAAAGTAAATAAATAAGTTTTAAATAAAAGGAAATTAAATTAATCATATATTAGATCAAATAATTAAATATATTATTTTAATATAAATAATTAACTGAATCTATAGAAGATTTAATAAAAAATTAGTGTTAATGATATAAAAAATAGTAATAATGATAACTATGCATTTAATTTATATTTAAATAATTTATTATTTTCCAAATATTCTAAGAATATTAATTTTTAAAATAATTAAAATATTTATTTTTTTAATTAAATATTGGATGTAAAAAATAGTATGAAAAAGATAAAAAAAATGAATAAAATAGTTGACAATAAAATTAATGAGGATTTCAATGAAAAAAAGGACTTTAGTAGATAA